ATCGTTTTATTATTATTATTATTATCATAATCTCATTTTTTATAGTTCAAATAATCTTTACCCAAATTGTCATTTTAAGCGTGTTAAGCATGAAGGCAGATTTTTTTAAAAATTATTACATGTATTTCCCGACCAGATGCTGCCGCCTTCTTTTTGATTTATCTTTCAGCTTATCAATACCCGGAGGATCCTTATTGTCCTCGGTAACCTCCGGCGCGCGACGATCCCATCCAATTTGGTATCGAACCAACATCACGTTGATTCTGGTGGGAGAGTAGTGTAGTGGCATTGGACAATAGCCACACAATCCACAAAGCTGTGAACACAAGACTACTCAGAAAATAGATATTCAATATTTAACGCGGATAAATACCTAACAATGGAGAAGGCGCGAACAATGAATTGAATGGACTGGAGTTGATCGAGTGGCATGGCTCGGCCATGCAGGCGTGGTCCCTGCTGGATATTATCCTATATCTCATTCATATTAAATATATTGTTCTTTCTCTATCCTAACCTTGTTCCTCATCAGGTATTGGTAATTGATACGATACAGTGAGTTGGTGTAGTCAATGGTGTGACTTCCACGTAAGATCTTATAGATTAGGCAGTTATATCATGACGAATCTACAATTTTGGGATTAGGTCTATTATTAAAGCAGTACTAATATCATAGTAGACCGTAGTTCTACATTGGTGAGCCCAACTAAAGAAACGCAACCTAATATTATTAATCCTTATTTCCACTTCAACTTTCTCGATCGATTTTATATTTATGTTAACCCTGTATTCCAATAGTCCTCTGATTAATGCTCACATGCATTATCGTAATGTTATATTGATTAGTCCTCATGACAAACTAGCTCAATCGATAATAAAAACTGGTCGTCTATATTAACTAATTAGCTTTGATGATTTGTTAACAAGCTGTAATAGCATTTACATGCTTCAGCGACATAGTCTTGTTTAAACATCAAGCTCTAGCAAATATGACCTGTAAATAGCGTAAATATACATTGACTAACAATGCAATCAAGGATTGAATAGTTATCTGGATCTAATTCTTAGTGTTCCTTCGCTTAACACCTCATCCTGTTTTAAACTATGCACTATCCTGTAATATCTTTTCTTTTGACCACTGCCTGCTTAATTTCATATTCTCGAGTTCCATTGCCAAACAACAAGGATGACACTTCTCCAAACAATACGGTGAGTTCCAGCTACAAGTTTTCTGCAATCATAAGGTCATTTTTAGATGGTTCGTTCAATGACAACCACACAATTATCTGGGTTTATTCGATTGTTCTGATCCGAGCGAGTGGCAAAAACCTCAACAGCATCAAGCACCCTGGAATTAATTGCCATACTGCATGTTTTATTCTGGATGCTTTTGGATCAATACTACTCACGAATGGCGTTATATATGTCGTCCACTGAATAATCTAATTTTCAAAAATAATCCAGGCGAGTTCAACTATTTTACTGGATGATTTTTTTTACTTAACATGTATATGTTTTCCGGTTCCTTTTGCCATATATTTGTAAGTGTCCCTAGGCTAAATGCTGTAACTCCTTATGGAATGTTTATAACGCATCATATTCCTGCCTGAAGTCTCACATGCAGTCTAAACTTTAAAACCATTTTCTGGTCATGTTCATTATTTTTAAATCGTCATATGCGTCAACAATCTGCTTGTTAATCTGGCCCGTACATACGTTTTACTATATCTTCATGTCTTTTGAATTTAGAAATCATCTGAATCGCCTTTAACATTTATCAATAAACCCATCATAGTCGTTGTTGTTAATCGTATTTGGGTTTATGGATTGGTGTATCATATTAGCAGCCTAAAATGCAGACATAGTTTAGATAATTCGATTAAAAATTTGGGTACTATCAACTGCACTAGTAAAATAACTAAATCCCCAAGTAGCTGTTGGCTAAACAAACGTTTAAAATCAAAACTCTGTAGCCTACTAGAATTAACACTGAACGAATATTTCTGAATTAAAATTTATAATTAAATTAGGCGTCTCGGATTCTTTAACGTTACAAATTTCTGATAGTTTCGAAACACCTAAAGCAACATTACCTATTTTTCCACTGACTAATCCTCATTCAACACTATAACTAGTTAAACATAGTAGTTTCAGGATATCGTCATAAAGCATTGTCATGACTTGACGATCACGTAATATGATTGATAAAATTAATGAAACTATTAACAAAATCGGTCAGCAAATTGACTTATAATTATCACTAGTGTTGTTTTTCTTTTATCTTCATTCACTACAGATGATTACAGTAGGTTTCTATATCAGTTGCTCATTCAGTAAATATCTCAAAACCTTGTCAGTCTAATTGATGGTTTAGCGACACAATCATGCATGCAAATAATCAGTATAAGCAGTCGAGCAAATCTCCTGCAAACTGAAAACATCAATGTCGAATTTACCCCAACACTGACTAAGGTTCAAGCCATTATCATAGACATGAGTTGGGAGTGTACTCCCCCTGGTTACAACTTATGTTCTCTCTGATAATCACATGAGCATCACTCACTATTAATCATCTTGTAAAAACTTATTTAGCTAAATACATTTTGCAGCACCACATCACTTCGTAATATGACACAGGCCTAACTGATTTTAATAACCTATAACCACTATATCTCAATTTAATCTTATTCCGCCTTATGATAAACTGCATACTTGCAACTAACTTGTATGCCCAATCAGCCAGCAAGTATAAATATAAATAAATAGTCTATTGCAGATCAGAACATTGAGTCCAGAGCATGTCTCTTACGAACACACTCATGTTTAGCGATTTGTTCCTAGCTATCTGTCCAAAATTCATATAATTATCACTCACGTATTTAAATTTTATTTTGATAACCATTCATGTGTATTGGTAGTATTACTAAATTCTATCACGGTCAAGTAAAAATGAAGTTGAGAAAATCTCCCCGTAACTAAATAAACCGTATCAAACTAACTGGAACACTAGTTGGAATTCTTTTCCATGGTAATACTTTTGTTCTCCCAGTTAGCCTACTAATACAGATGCAATTGGAAATCACATATGGACGGGTTACCGGCATAATTGTTAATTGGTTTCATAATTTAAACCAAAACTAATACCAATATTAACATTTCTACAATATTCATTATTTTAATATTTCTAAACACAAAATAATTACTACCTATAAGTTAAGTTATTAACACGCATCGTTTTATTATTATTATTATTATCATAATCTCATTTTTTATAGTTCAAATAATCTTTACCCAAATTGTCATTTTAAGCGTGTTAAGCATGAAGGCAGATTTTTTTAAAAATTATTACATGTATTTCCCGACCAGATGCTGCCGCCTTCTTTTTGATTTATCTTTCAGCTTATCAATACCCGGAGGATCCTTATTGTCCTCGGTAACCTCCGGCGCGCGACGATCCCATCCAATTTGGTATCGAACCAACATCACGTTGATTCTGGTGGGAGAGTAGTGTAGTGGCATTGGACAATAGCCACACAATCCACAAAGCTGTGAACACAAGACTACTCAGAAAATAGATATTCAATATTTAACGCGGATAAATACCTAACAATGGAGAAGGCGCGAACAATGAATTGAATGGACTGGAGTTGATCGAGTGGCATGGCTCGGCCATGCAGGCGTGGTCCCTGCTGGATATTATCCTATATCTCATTCATATTAAATATATTGTTCTTTCTCTATCCTAACCTTGTTCCTCATCAGGTATTGGTAATTGATACGATACAGTGAGTTGGTGTAGTCAATGGTGTGACTTCCACGTAAGATCTTATAGATTAGGCAGTTATATCATGACGAATCTACAATTTTGGGATTAGGTCTATTATTAAAGCAGTACTAATATCATAGTAGACCGTAGTTCTACAAACCGTTTGCTGACCTAACGGTGATATCTTTTACAGACCACGGGTTGTCGGATTTAAGAGGATTGCTTAACTGATGGTCTTTATAATGTCAGCGCAATGTCCTCTGTAATGTGTGCTAAAATAAAATGTCTTTTAAGAAGAGGATAAAAATTTAGCTAAGATTTGATCACAAAACAAGTGGTATTGTCTGGCTGGATTGATGCATAATTAATGCTCGGTCGGTAACAACTGCATTTATACTTACTATCAGATTTATGAATTTAATCCCGAAATTGTTTATCTGCAATTATGTGAATACGTGACCTATGTAGATGTCATATCATTGGTTTCACCGATTTGTCCTATTGTGATAATCAGAAATGTCCAGTTTACGAGTTCTGAAGGACATATTTGTGGTGAATAATCATCTCACTTGATGTTTAATGCTTTCATGAAAGGTATATGATTTGTCTAACTCGAATTTGAGAGAACCAATAAACCGATCGTCTGCAAGATGTTATTAAGATTTCTTCACCAGCGTGTGCTAAATCTAAAGTTACTCATGATGGATAGGGCTAACTTTTTCCTGCTGTATGATATTTGAATTGAATTTGAATTATAGTACGAAATAAAAATCCCAAAATTATCGCAATTGAATCAAGAATCACGACACAAGCACGAACGAATGTATTGTATTTAGAACTCGAGATCTAGCATTCAACAAGTACAAAAGGATCATTAATTAATTCAAACACCACATCCGCCACAGCTTAAATTGGAATATAATTGTCTGTTATAGGTTGTACGTCTTCTTCTTAAGTTCATCCTGAGTCTGTCCGACATTGTATTGGATAAAAACTCTGTATTATCTAGAATACACTCATTATTATTGGAATTAACAACCGAAATCAGAACAGACTCACCTGGAATTGTATACCATCAGCATGTCGGTTTTGTACTGAAATCATTAATATCTAGAATTTGAACCATAGATTTTTCAACACTATCCTCCACCACGAAATAATGTAGGATCTTTATATCCCCAAGTTATGAATAATGTGACTTCACTCAAAACATATTTATCACATTGACTAAACATTAGAAGTGTTTTTGTGATAAGGATAAACAGCATTTGATATGGAGTCATCTGAAATGTAATCAGAATCGAGCTCATTTAGTACTTGTGGTTCGCATTGAACAAATTTTCCACAAGAAACAAATGCATTATGAGGACAAATAATATTTGATATGACATCAAGATTTGATTCTTCTGAAATAGTGTGGTTTTGAATGAACCAATGATACCTTGGTACTTGTTGAATGCTTGATTTCGAATTCCAAATACAATACATCCGTTTGTGCTTGTGTCTTACTTCTTAATTCAATTGCGTTATTTCTGGGACTTGTAGCGTGGCGTCGGGTCGAGATTAACTATGAACACCGCTACCAAGAAACACGTGCCGAATGAATCAGAAGGCGAGGGTTGGACGTAACCAAATAGATCCATAAAATCCCCGAGAAGCCAAATACCAGAAGGCAATTAATGGACCAAGTCGAGTTATATTTGGCTGGCAATCTCGTGGCATCGAAAGGATACCGAGATCGTGCCAGGATACAAGCTTGGTTACAGAAGGTAACCGAATTCGCGCGAAATTACAATTGAAGTGTAAGTATAAGAATGGAAGCACAAAATAGCTGTCATTAGCACAGTCAAACAAAAGCACGTTAAAACAAACACTGGTACAGTTGGTTATAATAATAATTGTTTTTATTAAACCAGTCGTGTTCTCGTGATAAATGTGAGTCACTACAGACTCTTAGTTCGTGCTATAATTCGAACAATTCAAAATATTATATTTACGTCGCGATGGAGCCTGCAATAGAAAAGGTAGATATTCATTCAACTCCTGAAGCTTTTGAGGATTACTTGGAAAGGTTCGAAATTTGGAGCATGACCAAGAAAGATGGTAAAGGTGATAAAATTGAGGCACATTTTCTGACATTCACTGGGAGAGAAGCGTACAGCTTATTAAATACTCTGGCATATCCAGAAAAACCTATCTCACTCCCTTATGCATCTCTTAAAGAGCTATTGTTAAGTCATGTAAAATGCACCAGTTTTGAATGCCGTGAAAGGGCGAAGTTTCACAAGATAATTCGTCAAAATGACCAAAAGGTTCGGGAATTCATCCTTGAATTACAGAAACAAGCTGCCAAGTGTAATTTCGGTGATCAACTTCATGTGCAACTGAGAGATCGATTAATTGCAGGAATCAACATACCAAGTTTGGAAAGAGAGCTGTTAAAAATGCCAAACTGTTCCTTTCAAGATGCTAAACCTGCGTGTATTAACTACGAAGCAGTCAATGAACTTGATATCCAGTCGATGAAGGTTTCTAATACTTTGCTTAGTCGTCGTGATGAATTACAATCTCAGGGTCAATCAAACTTGCGTTCATTTAACAGTGATTCCTATTCTCGTGTTAATATGAAAGGTGTTTCAACGAGGAATTACAATACAAATCACAAAGGTGAGATGAAGTTTGGTAAATGTTTATCATGTGGAAAGTTTCATGCTCGCAATTCATGTGTATTTCGTAATGCTAAATGTTTTAAATGTGGTAAGGTAGGACACATTCAGTCAGTATGCAAAGCTACTGTCCATTTTGCTTCGAGCTGTACTAAATCTTGTAATTTAAATTTCAATAATTCGGATGTTTCTAGTGATCATTTGTCTTTGTCCACTATTTCGAAAGGTAATGCTCATATTCAGAAGCGATTATATACATCGCTTGGTTCATTTCATGACTTTATTCTGGATACAGGCAGTATAGAGTCCATTATTTCATTCAAGAACTTGATATCTTTAGATCCTAATGTTGTTGTACGACCCACTGAAGTATCAATACTGGGGATTACTGGACACAGACTGCCCATACGAGGATGTTGTGAATTGCTAATCAGAGATGATAATTCTTCATACATACCTTGTGAATTTTTAGTTAGCGAAACAGGACTGTCAATATTGGGTTTAAAGAATTTGAAAAGGCTTAAGGTGGAGTTGTCCTTCTTAGTTTCTAAAGAAAATTCTGATACTTTACTTAAAGATTTGATAGCTATGTGTGCTAAGTGCAGTGGAGGTATGAAAATTAAGCCTATAAATCTTCAAGTACAGGGTGATCCCGTCTTTCTTAAAAGACGAATAATTCCTTATGGTCTTCGAGAAGCAGTACGTAAGACATTAAACGACTTGTGTGCGAAAGGCATAATTGAACAAATTCAGTCTTCAGCATGGGGTACTCCTATCGTTACGCCAGTGAAGTCGGATGGCAAGACCCCTAGAATTTGTGGTGACTATAGATTAACTCTGAATTCCCGTTTGTTGAAGCAAACGTGCACGACGGTAGAAGCTGAAGATATTCTAAATCGACTTCATGGTTCTAAAGTGTTCCCGAAAGTTGGTTGACCTAAACGATGCTTATCTTCAAATTCCTTTAGATGAATATTCATCTATTTTGACGACAATTAACACTCCTTTTGGTCTGTTCAAATACAATTTCCTTCCATTTGGTCTAAGTTGTTCTCCAGCCATATTTCAGGAAGTTATGAATAAAGTAGTTAGTGATCTTGAAGGTGTTGAAGTTTATCAAGATGATCTCATTGTTCATGGCTCTAATAAGGTAGTGCATGACCAGAGACTTATTGCTTTATTGCGTCGTTTAATTGAGAAGAATATAACAGTGAATCCAAATAAGTGTTCATTTTGTGTATCTAGTTTTGAATGCCTTGGATACCTAGTTGATGGTAATGGTTTTATACCAGATATGAAACGACTAGCTCCACTGACTAATGCACCGTCTCCGAAAAATCTTACAGAATTACGTTCACTAGTGGGTGCTCTTCAATACTATTCCCGTTTTATTCCTAATTTTTCTTGTTGTGCAAATTGTTTATTTAATATTTTGAAATCCAATTCCATCAAATGGGGTGAGGAACAAGAGTCATGCTTACGAAGTCTACTGAGGTTTCTTCAAAGTGATGCTTTTCTTCGAACGTACTCCCCTAATGTACATTCTTTGTTTATTACTGATGCATCACCTGTGGGAATTGGTGCAGTTTTGGAACAGGAAGGTAGACCAGTTATTTGTGTTTCATGCAAATTAACTGTTACTGAGCAAGGATATTCACAGACTCAGCGGGAAGCATTAGCTGTGTTTTGGGCTGTTAAAAGACTTCATAAATATTTATTCGGAAAGAAATTCACTATTGTTACTGATCATGAAGCTTTAAAGTTTGTTTATCATCCCGAAAAATCCTTAGCACGTTCCTCAGCAGCTATGGTTCAGCGATGGAGTATTGCTTTGAGTGCATATGACTATACGGTTCAGCACAGAAGTTCCAAACAGATTCAACATGTTGATTACATTTCTCGACAGTCATTACAAGATAAACCTATTAATACTTCGGATTGTTTGTGTGACGATGGACCACCGGTGAACTCGAGGAAGCTGTAAGAGGCTCATAAGGAGCCGAAGACGTTCCATCCAATCACCTTTCGAAAGAATGTTCTAGAATTCCAACGTGTAGCTTCCCCATTGGATAATGCTAATAACCCCCTGTACGCGGATTGGAAGACTGTAATGATGATTTCGTTCTCACTAAAAACTATAAATACCTGACCATTTTTGTACTATGTTTGACACTGTTTGGAATAATATTCCTTTCGTTAGTCTTCTGTCTTCTTGTTGCGACTTGGAAGGGTTTGGTGTTCTAGTGCTCAGTTATACGCGGTTGTATCAAGAAAAATCAGCTTTTTCAAGTTATAACATCTGGCGACGGGTTATTGTATCAATATGTCACTTACCTTGGAACAATTTGAAGCCTTATTGGAACGCCAAGAAAAGTTCCAGATGCGCATGTTAGAGATGCTAACGCAGAAAATGAACCTGGATCAAAAAGAAGTTACAGATGATCCCTTCAAATCTCATGTTGACCAGATTGTTAATTCTATCCATGAATTTAATTTTGATGGTTCAGCTGGCATTACTTTTGAAACTTGGTTCAAGAAATATGAAGATTTGTTCAAGGTCGACCTGAAAAAACTTGATGACGCCGCTAAGGTCAGAATACTCTTGCGAAAGCTTGGAACTGTTGAACATGAACGTTACAGTAACTTTATCCTTCCAAAGAATCCAAGAGATTTTTCTTTTGATGCAACGATTGAAATTTTGTCGCAAATCTTTGCTGAACAGTCATCCTTGTTTAATATTCGTTATCAATGTCTCAAGATGACAAAAGCAGGTGATGATGACTGGGTGAAACATGCGGGTTTAGTAAACCGTGAATGTGAGCGTTTCAAACTATCAGCAATGACAGAAGACCAGTTTAAGTGTCTCGTATTTGTGTGCAGCCTCCAATCTCCCGAAGATGCCGATATTAGAACTAGAATTTTGAGTAAAATTGAACAATGTCCGAATATGACACTACAAGAAGTAACCGCAGAGTGCCAGAGATTGGTGAACCTAAAGCATGACACTTCGATGGTCGAAAATAATGGCCAGTTGCCATACGTTCGTGCTGTAAGCGGAAAGAATGATTCTTGCTCAAGAAAGGCATCGCACACAGATAATCAGCCTTCATCTCCATGTTGGTCTTGTGGTGGTTGGCATTATAAAAGGTTCTGTCCATATAAAGAACATTGTTGTAGCAAGTGTCATCGCAAGGGACATAAAGAAAACTGCTGCAGAAAAAGAACCCATAAACGACATTCTTTGAAACCCTACTCGAAGAAATACAGATTTAGTGCTCGAACTAACAAAATATTGGTATCACATAATCGAGCACGAATATGCCGCCAAAGAAAGTATGTAAACTTGGATATAAATAAAAAGCGTGCCCGCCTGCAACTCGACACCGCTTCTGACATCACACTTATTAGTCGGAGAACTTGGAGTCTTATCGGTAAACCACAGGTGCTCCCAACAACCCAGTTAGCTCACAGCGCATCTGGAGGAAAACTAAATATTGTTGGAGAGGTTTGTTGTACAGTCTCGAAAGGAAATGCGAAAACGAATGCAACTTTATATCTTACACAGAATCCAGGACTAGATTTGCTAGGTCTAGACTTGATAGAAGCACTTCAATTAGCAAATCACCCCATTAACCACATATGCAGTGCAGTGAGAACCAGTAAACCTGTGGAAAAGGATCTGAAGAGTGTTGTATTGGAAAGACACAGTCAAGTGTTTACGGAAGAGTTGGGGGAATGCAAAAAGGTTAAAGCACTATTGATTCTTAAACCGGGAGTCACCCCCGTCTTCAGACCAAAACGTCCGGTACCCTATGCAGCACT